CGCGCATTTGTGTGTGTGTGTGTGTGTGTGTGTGTGTGTGTTATATTATTTTTTAACAGTCTTCTTCGTTTTTAGATAAATTTTTTGGTCCTCTTTGAAGACTTTTTTTACTCCATTTATGTACATTATCCGACAATATTTTATAAAATATATATAAAATAAAGCCTTCAAAGACGGCCGAACAAAATTTGCCTTTAATGAAGAGTCCTTTACAAGTGTTCAAAATTAAATTAACCTACAACTAAAAGATTTTAAGATATATAAAAATTATAAAACTATAAAAAAATATCTTTTTAGTATTTTGTGTTGTCTGGGTATATTGAAAAATAATATTTATAATTTATACTGTTGTTACTTTTATTTTTTATGTAATTATTAAATTATAATTTAAATTTGAATTCTTCTGTCTATACAATTTTTGCTTTTTCTTATTTATTTGCTTATTCTAACCATTTCCATTTCGGATATCTGTACAAAATGAGGTGGACACTGATAATGCTGTTGTTGTTGTTGCAATCTTATAGATATTTGCGGTGATCGTTCATACATCACCGGCCATTGTTGCTGAACGGTTGGTAGTGTTGGTGAACTGATATTGTCCAATGTTTCATCCGGCGGCTGCACGCACAATGTATTTCCTACATATACAATATAGGAAGAGTCGAAACGTTCAAAATAAAGAAGACATCAATTCAACATCTGATTATTAATTGTTCACTAAATAATTGAGCCATTTATCGTTGCTGACTCTCATTAGTCTATTATATTTATCTTTTATTGTTTAAAATTCGAGAGTCCAAATATAATTATTGTTATTGTTATATAATTACCATATATATTTATTATCATATATATTTAGTATTACATGATTTAAACACATTAAGATTTCTAATTGCTGATGAGATTTTTCTAAGAAATTTCTGTATAAATAATTGAAAATGTATCAGACTTTTTAAATTTTGCTATTCAAAATTAGAATTTGTTATTCACATTTGAATTTCTGATTTTGGTTTCCCGCATACAATAAGTTTTGTCAAAAATGCATATTCAAAAATACAATATCCTTGCTACAAATAAGCAGTAAAATTACAGACATGATACAAGATTTGCTTATCTAGCAAAAATATGACAAAGTTTGCTGACAAAAATATGACAATAGATTGATATAAAAAATTAAACAGACTGCAATACAATTTGACGTAATTCAAATCAGTTAAAACCAGATTTTGTGAAGTTTGTTACGAATTTTATCGACAAAATGCCAGCGAAAGTTAATATATTAGAATTTATTAACATTAAAAGGACTGAAACAGCCAATTTTTTCTTGAAAATTGCTATAATTTTCTTCAATTTTGTTTCCATTTATATTTTGTAACGTTTCATCATTTTTCATGTTAATTTTGATAAAAAGATTTACAATTGTGTATATAAAATAGCTGAATTTTTATTTGAAAAATTTTACTGAAAAGTCCAATACTCCTTGAAAAAGAGGATATAGTTAATTTCTAATACTATATATAGCAAAAATAAAACGTTATTTCTTAAACCTTTTTGTTAATAAATTTTTAACAATAACGGACGACAACTGAAACCTCTTGGAGGTCACTCAAGTTCATGACTTTGACAACATATGTCAAGGTCATCAGAGATATACCCTCCAGTTACTATCAATTTACTAGATGCAGTAGTGCAATCACTGCTCTCTAAGCAATTAAGTAGCAATTTAAGGATTGGCTCTAAAAGTAAGAATTAATCACGTTCGACTGTTACTTAATCACTGAGCGATTGTGCTATTGGATGCACCCACTGTAAATTCTGCTCAAATTTTATAGATCGTTGATACCTTTGCTTGCTAAGACATTTATTGATGATTCAAAAGTCAAGTGAGTACTTACCACGATCAAGGAAACGATTACAATCCAACAAGTGCGGCCACGGCAATGCGAGACTGGTTAAGGCCGGTTCGCAGTCTCTTCTTACGGAAAGGCAGAGAGACTTGCAAGCCGGTATGGTTACATGTTCCGAGCAGACTGGAGCAAAGACGGCGCATAAGAAGAGCCTAAGATGTTTTGAACAGTTGTAGTGGACCAATGGCATAAAGGTCGCCAGCTGCAAATGCATGTGTAATTAGAACAAGTAAATGCGTAAATTTTGCCTCCTAATTTTGTCTCTTTGAAGCTCATATGACCAGTCACTTTGATTCAGTTGCTAAATATTTGATTTTTAACTGATTTTGGACATTGTTTCTACATTGTTTCACATCGATTGTAATCAGGCAAAATATTCGATAAAAGAGTCACGCGAATTTCACATGATATATTGTATTCCATTGTATTTCCTTTACAAAATATTTTAACATTTTAAATAAATTTGTATATACATTCCTCTGTTCTCTAAGCGTGGAGCAAAGCTTGTAACGAAGATGAAGAGCGAGAGGGTAATGCACCTAAGCAGGCGGAGAGGAGACGCCTCGCTTCCATGAAATATAACGAGCGGTAGGTATCAAGGGTAATTATCCCGCCCATTCTTCCCGCCTCAATCCCGATAGATCCCTCGCACGTCTGAGGCCCATCGGGACCATTCTCTGCTATCTCCTGCCCTTTTCCTTCCCTCTCTAGATTCACCCATTACGAGAGAAGCCCGACGCTCTTCTCTTTTACGGTGCTCCCCAAATTATAGCCTCATGAAATTACGTGGTAACCCATAACGACAAAGCCCTCCAGCTTGCCCTGCATCACACCTTTCTCTCTGGGTTCTCTTCTCACCCATCAAGGTTGACCAGCCAAGAACAGCTCAGAGAGAAAGAAAGAGAGAAAGAAAAAGAGAGAAACTTCTCATCCGGAGATCGCATGCGATCGTTTTCACTTCTCTCTACATGCGACAGATATCGATCAATAAATAGCAAGGAAGTCATTTGACATGATCAGATCTTGATTCTCCCATAGCATTAATAAAAAGTAAAAAATTAATTATTAATTAATTTTTTACCTTACCCGTTGTTTTTAAATCTGCAATCATTATAAGAGCGAAAAAAAAAAACTTTAATATCTTGAAACGCAATGAAATCCGAAATGAATATATCCAATTTCAAAAAAGTCTTAAAAAGTACTCAAAGAGAGAGCTATCTATGTAAAAAACACGAGAAAAAATGAGTAAAAATAAAACTATCATAGTGTTAGACATAGATTTAATAAAAAAATTCATGATAAACAAATTCACGCTCATAATCAAGTCACCCTTGGCGATGCAGACAGGAGATAATAAAATAATTTAATCTAAAACGTTAAATATACAATGAAAAACATAGGTAATAACAACAGAAAATAACAGATTTCAATCAATTAGAAACAATATATTTTAGTAAAACATGATTTTTGATAGATTGAAATCTATCTATCTATTATTTCCTGTTCCTATATTGTCTGTGCTTTTTCATTGTTTAAAGCTTAAGAAGATACTGGAATGACGAAATTATTAATACACATTTTACAGCCGTATGAAAATCTCCAAATTGACTGAACGGAAATCCTTTTACAAGTTTAAAGTAAACGCAGAATTAGGGGGTAGAGTAAATGATTTTATACTAAAATCGGAAAAAATAAAATAAAAAAAAAGTTAAAACTTATATTTTTCAAATCGTCCAGTCATCTGATGTTTCCTTAATACAAAATTCCATAGCTTGTATACAGGGTGTCACATTTTAATGTTTCATCCCAAATAACTTTTTTATTTTTGATCTTAGAAAAAAATGTTTCATACAAAAGTTGTATGGTTTTGAGGAGGACACAAGATGGTGTCATTAGTTTGACTTTGAATAGTTGCTTGAAGGTTACGCGAAGGTTACTTTCAATTTCTTAAATGTAATCCCCTATTTTTTATTGCATATTCTTGTAGATCATCTTGAGAATTTTCCAAAACACTATAATTAAGTTCATTTTCATTAAGTATTTTTTGAGTTATAAGGCTTACAAGTTTCAGCCGACATTAGCATTACCCAAGGTATCCGATCGACGATTAAAACATCTTGAATCAAGAAATCATTGGAAATTGTTCCTCTTATTTTCATTTTTGCACTAAAAATTACATTTCATCTATGTAAAAATAAAAATAAGAAATACAACCTCCAATGGTTTCTTAGGTAATGTTAATGCCGGCGGTACTGTAACTGTAAGCCTTTTAATTCGAAAAGTACTTAATGAAAATGAACTTAATTATAATGTTTTGGAAAGCTCTCGAGATAATCTATTGTACAAGAATGTGCAATAAAAAGTAGGAGGTTCTATTTAAGAAAATTGAAGGTAACTTTCACGTAACCTTCAAGCAACTATTCAAAGTCAAACTAATGATCATCATATGTCCCCCTCAAAGTCATACAACTTTTGTCTGAATTTTTTTCTAAGATCAAAAATAAAAAAGTTATTTGGAGTGAAACATTAAAATGAGACATCCTGTATATGGGCAAGATGATATTGCACCATTGGAATAATACTGATTTTATAGAATTAAAGATTAAAAGCTTAAAAAAATATTCAATTGTAATTTACGTATTTAGCAAAGATTCAGAATGGTAAACAGAGCAGTAAGTGTATCTAACGGTAGATGCTGTATCTTGCAAAAAGTGACATTGCAATGGGTCAAATGTACGCGTTTGAGACAAAACGATAATGTAAGCAGAAAAAAAAGTTTCTCTCTGATATAAGAAATGAAAGATTTCACTATTATCAACATTTTTAATTTGGAATTAGAAAAGTTTGTAGGGTAAGGTATACAATTTCAAATATGATGCAATTTTGAACGAAATAAAATTTGAATCCAATTTTCTAAGTTAAATTTTTTTTAATTTAAAAAAAATTTTTTCTGTTTGGAATTCTTCAACATCCTCCACACAACGAAATCAAGCTTGCTAAACTTGAACCTTAAAAATTTAATTACTGTATTTCGTTCAAAATTGTACTACCTTGGCTTTATTATCAATATCGATCAATTCCAGCATTCTTTAAAAAGGTTTATATTATCAATATCGATTTATTAATTTTTTGTTGCCCAAATTTTTCTATTAAACGTATTTTGTTAAATTTTAATATATGGAGATTTCTGAAATTGTTAATTACGAATCTTCAAAATTCAAAAAATCAAAATAATGGATTCAGGATGGTAGCTAATTGAAAAAAATTGTGACTGTATTTATTTATTATGTATAAAATTTTATACGTAAAATATTTTAAAAACCATAAAGAATATTAAGAATATAAAAAATATTAAGAATTTATTTATTTCATTAACCGGCCATTAAGTCACTGAATCAATTTGACTCGCAATTCGATTTTCGAGCTAAATAATTTTAAGACGTAATAAGACGTAATAATTCAAAACAACATCTAATAAATAAATCGAAAATTTAAAGACCTCTTTATCAGTTGAGACTGTCACATTATTTAGAAATGCATCAATTCATGCTTGATATTTGTTTGAACAGAAGGATTTTTAGCGTGAGTCATTTGACCCATATGTATCAATAGTGTACTATTAGGTGTAGTAAAAAGAAATCCATTATTTTTGCATGAAATTGAATGGAAAAATAATGGATTTCTTTTTACTACACCTAATATTTACAAAAAAAATTTTTTTTTGCAAAGTTCACATTATAAAAAGTAAGTGTGGCATTCATGACTTTTCCTATTTATATAATATTTAATATACATATTTAATTCTCGGTTGAGAATATATATAGGATCCTATATATAGGATCAATTTGACCAACTTGAAGCTAAATAGCTTTAAGATGTTACTTAGAATAGGACTTCATACAATCATCTATTGAAAGTTTGAAGTGTTTATCGATTAAGACCTGTCGCGCTATTCAAAACCAGGTTGATTTTTGCTTACGGATTTAGTCTTTAGCAATTCTCGGACTTGATAAAACTGTAGATACATAGAAAGAGATGTTATTTAAAAAAAATCCGATGCACATTATCATCTCACGCAAAACGTTCATAAGACGAAGAAGCAATGCTCATCTTACCAATTCTTATTTTTAAATTGTTATGACTGTGATGAAATCGAGTAACCTATATCAAATAATTTTTCTTTTTATCTGTACTACTATCAGTATTATTATTTATACTATTCATAGCATGTAGAATACTTTTATTTCAAATAAATTGTTTTCTCAGCATTTTTTCGTACTCAAAAACAATAAACTTCAAATCGGAATAAATATCTTTTTTGAAACGCATAGTACAGACATATTTTTTTTCAAAGTATCACATTTCAAGAGCATCATCTATAAATTTTAGCTAAAAATATTGAAAAATAAAAAAGTTATTTTTAAATATTAAAATGCATTTTTCTTTACATGTATATCTTTAAGAATTTTTTAAACATATTGCCATTTAATTCATGTCATTATCTTTATTAAAACATCTACTTTTCAGTTTCAATCCGCTTTGAATTTGAATCCATTTTACATATCAGAAAACGTTCATAATTCGATGAAAAAAATCGCACAGTAAAAAATGGAAATTCCTTAAAAGTGAAGATTAGTTATTTAGAATGGCGTTAATGAAATTAAAAAATAAAATATCGTTTAGCCACAAAAAAATTATAAATATGGTAAAAAATTTTTTGGCTTATATTTCTGAAAAATCTGACATGATCTTTCGCTGGCAGATTTGGATTCAGTGACTTTGAATTTATTAAGAAATATTGGCTCTGCTCGCTACAGGAGAAAAAGGTCAAATTTTGTCAGTGTTATCAACTATGTAAAAACATAAAAAAAGGCGAAAAAAATTTATTTTTCAGGCACACTATGCAACAAAGGATGAAATTCGGCACTCGCTTCCTTTAACGCTCAGTACAAAATATTGTACATACATGCCAAACAACAATAAAAGTCTAAAAACAACAATAAAAGGGACGCTGAACATTAGTTGCATTCAGCAGAGAAAATTGATTAGTGAGCGCTCAGTGATTCTTTATGATTGGTTTCTTAGATCCGGCAAAGAACTAAAGGCAAGAATCAATCATATTAAAGAATCACTGAGCGTTTACTGATTATTTTTCGCTGAACGCAACCATTGTTTAAATCCATTACGTATTGTATAACTAGG